TAAATATGCATTTTTTGCTATAATAACAATTATTTAATGACATAAGTAAAAAAATATAATAAATATGTAATATAGTCCTCAGCAAAATCTCCTCTCTAGCTATTTTTTCTATTCAATTAACATGCTATGGTCATTCAATGGCTTTCCTGAGCTAAATGTAACGTTATGTGACATAATTGTTCTCCTGCTGTTATATTGACCTCTTTCCATGGTTTAAAAACACTAATTGGTCGATATTATATATACTTTCTAGCTGTACCTTACCCTTGCCTTTTGCAATGTGAAAATGAGATAAATAATGGACACAAATGAAAAACATGAATTCGTTTATTTGATGTCATTCATTTATTTATTGTTGCCAAATGGACAGATCTTTTTATAATTTCCTCGTTAGCTAACGTTAGCCTAGCTAGCTTGCCAAGCTATTTTCATAAATAATCTGTAAGATCGTTTGTACCTTCATCTGTGACTGGAGGCCACTGTCTAACATCATCAACCCGACAAGTCATTCTGCCTGGCTGTAGCTGTCACATAGAGCTGTCATCGAGGGTGCGTTATCACCACAGTCTATGGTTATCACGGAGGTTTGTTTACATACCGGTAACAGCTCAGTAATGGCGTCGCCACAAGATGGCAGCCTACACAGAACGCTCGTCAGATTCGTCTATAGCAGGGGTCGGGAACCTTTTTACCAAGAAGAGCCAAACAAACAAAAAATTTTTTAGAAATTTTTCAAAAGAGCCACAGCAAAGTTTACACTTGTGTATTAGAAATATTTGCCAATTTTTATTTAATAACAACACCAGTAGGTGGCAATAACGCTGTTTTTTTTTCACTCATTGACACCCAAGCTAAGGCTACTTCATACCATCATACTTTCTAGCACTCCTAAGACACCACAAAAATTGAGAAACGAGCATCATAGACAAGTGATTAACAAGAAGTGCATTGCACCCTACTTACATTAATGAGATTTCTGTTGCTGCATCATTTTGCTGAGTGCTTTGTAGTTGGGGTCGTAACTAGTGAGATTCAGCTTCATGCAGGCATTAAGGCTTTCATCTGTTAACCTTGAACGCAGGTTGGTTTTGATATTGTTCAGATGTGAGAAGGACTGCTCACATGTGTATGTTGAGCCAAACATTGTCAGGACAGCAACACTGACGCGACGCATTGTGCTGAAAGTGGCTGGAAGTTCGTTCCAGGTTTTCAGGATGAGATTGTCTTCACGTTGGAGTTTTCTCATATCTGCCCACTTATGTTGCTTTGCCAGTTCTGCCCGCTGACGAGCGAGGCTTTCCAGTTCGGAATTCAAAGTGAAAAATTTTGACACCCACATATCCGTCACCTTCAGTTCAGCAGCTTCCAGCTCAAAATCTCCGATGGAGATTCCAGGGAAGACACTCAGGTTTTGTGTATCCACGGTGCACACATGTGGATGAGTTATCACTTTGAACAAATCGGCATGTCTGCGGAAGTCCACAAAGCGTGATTTGAATGACATCAGTAAATCAGACGTAAAGGCTGCGAGCTTACGGAGGTCAAAATGATGAGTGGCGTCCCTCGCTAAGCATTCCTCTCTGTATGCCCGCAATGTTTCGAAATGCAGGAGACGGCCACTTTCTATGTCCCTGATAAACAGCTCCAGCTTTGTTTCAAATGCAAACACTGCCTGTTGCAGGGACAAGATTGTGTTCCCAATGCCTTGCATTTTCACATTGAGGTGGTTCATATGACATGTAATATCCACCAGGTAGTGAAACTTCAGGAGCCACTCAATGTCATTGAGCTCGGGATGAACATTTCCTTTCATTTCCAGAAATGCCCTCACTTCATTTAAACAGGCAGCAAAACGGGCGAGTGCTTTTCCCCTGGATAACCACCGCACATTGCTGTGCAGTAGCAGCCCTGGATAATTACTCCCCACTTCATCCAACAGGGCCTTAAACTGGCGATCATTTAAAGCTCGGGCCACAATGAAGTTCACAATGCGAACGACCAATGACATCACTTCGCGAAGTTCCTCTCCACACGACTGAGCACACAGTGCCTCTTGATGCACAATGCAATGAAAGTTTAAGATGGGCCGCTTCTCTTGCTCACACAGAAGGGCAACGAATCCTTTATGTTTCCCTAACATACTGGGTGCTCCATCAGTACACACAGATATAAGCTTATTCAGTGGGAGCTTTTTCTCTGCAGCAAAGTCCATCAGAGATTTTAACACATCCTCACCTCTTGTTGTATCTTTCATCGGCAAAACAACGAGACTCTCTTCACGCACTGTATCACCCGTCACATACCGCCCGATTATGCTTAGCTGCGCTATATTGCTCACATCGGTAGACTCATCCAAGGAAAGAGAAAAGTAACTACCTGAACTGATGTCGTTGATTTGCATCTCCTCTATCTGGCGTGCCATCACCAGTGCACGATCATGAACAGTTCTTGCAGAGAAAGGCATTTCTTCGATTTTTTGAATAATTTTATCCTTGTTTGGGAGGTCGTTAAACAGTTCTTTTGCAACACTGAGCATGCAACCCTTAATGTAGTCTCCATCTGTAAATGGTTTCCCACTCCGCACAATCTCCAGAGCACCAGCAAAGCTTGCAGAATTCAGATTCCCGCCTTTATTAGTCCATGATAGCAGCTGCTGCTGTCCGGTTTCCATTCTCCGCTGAAGCTCAGCGCAAGCTTTTCTCCTGCATTCTCCATCGGGATGTTTTGCGGCGAATGCTGCATGGTGCGTCTCAAAATGTCTCTTAATATTTGACTTTTTGAGCGACGCAATACGTTCATTACAAATGAGACACACTGCGGACCCCAACTTCTCCACAAATGCAAATTGATCCGTCCATTCAGGCCGAAATGAACGGTAATCGTCGTCTTTTTTTCTTTTCGCCATTTTCCTCTCGTTGATGATGATTTTTAATTCAGCCAGCTAGGTAGTTGTTTAACTTGATCTTGACTTGACGCAGGCCTAACCGTCGGCCAATTAAAATTCAGCACTCTGAAAGGTAGGCTAGCTACAGGCCAAACGCCGCTGTCATTCATATTAAGCTGCGAGTCTCTTACCTAAATATTTTGAACATATTTAATTTAATTTTACACATTCAGAATTATACATTAATCAGAAATGCTAATAGTTTCAAAATAATTTTATCATCATGTTCGAGGGTGTATTTTCAGTCAACATTTGAAAATTGGAGAGCCATATAAAATCCGGAAAAGAGCCATATATGGCTCGCGAGCCATAGGTTCCCGACCCCTGGTCTATAGGCTTTATGCCGAGCGTCACGTGACCAAACCGGAAAACGGGTCTCATTGCATCCGCTTGTCAGAGAAAGTGTTAACGGCCGTAAGAACTAACTACGATATCTATAGATTTTTAAGGTAATCAGCTAACCTACGAAGTTCACTTTGTTATTGGTGTTTTATGCTATTTAAATATCTAAACGTTAGTGTGAAGAAGAAAAATTCAAAAACTTTTAAATATCAATCTGCACATGCGAGGGACATTGGTTATGCTCATTTTTGCTTGCTCCTTTTAAGTTATCTTGAGTAAAACCGCAAAAAATTTCATGAAGCACATACAAAAGACCTGAATCGGAAGCGATGTGATCTGTTTTCCGGCTTGGTCACGTGACGCTCGGCATAAAGCCTATAGCGCTGAATGACTGATTATCTGCTTTTATTTCACAAATTTGTTGGCTATAGCAGGAAATATCTGATATTCCGATTGTCAAATATGAGCAAGTGGATGCGTTTTGTTGTTTAAACACCTTAGTTGAGCTAACGTTATACGCGATGGGCGTTAGTTTATGCCGGATTTTAGAGAATCGGATCTGTTGGATTTAACAAACGTCAATTTATCCATTTCTCCCGAAATACATGAAAGTAAGTGGCTGGTGAACTGGGAGAAGCATAGAGTAAACTTGAAAGTTACTTACACGATGTGTATTTGATATGAATAATACGTGTAGTCTAATTATAATGGAAATAATTATTATTGCCGCTTCCATAGACATAAGTGTATATTTGACAAACTAATGTATTGCTTTTTTAGTACTTATGTGAATTTAAATGTCTGAAACCTAAAATAAACATTATGTGGTTGAAAACACTGAATAGTTGTGATGTCAAGCGGTGAGCGCTCTCCGTCTCTGGCTCAGAAAATATGTGTAGCCTACTACAAAACAGGCTCATTGCAGACACTAAATTAGTTAATCACTTAATGTTGAACTTTCAAAGTGCACCAGATTTATGAATTTATCTTTAAAACGTACAAACTTTTCTTCCGGGGGAGCATGCCCCCCGACCCCCCTAGGGGTGCAGAGGTCCACACCACACACAAAATACTGTGGGAAACACAGTAGCTTATATAATAGTCTTCGAAAAATACAAAATACAATTATTATTATTATAAAAATACCTAAAATACGTACATTAGGATTTTACCACCTCCGCCTCGTTTTGAGCCAGGAAAAACCCTGAGATTATTATTATTCTTTAAAAATTTTGTTTGTTCTTTTTGCATGCAGTTTGCGAAGTGACAAAATAGTAAAGCAAAGCACAACTAGTCCACACTTTTATTTTCTCCGTTTCTGAATTTGATGTTATCAGAGGCAAAATACAAACACAATTGCATTATTTTTATCTACTGTCATGTTCATGTTTTTAAAATGTCATGTTAACAAAATACATTTTAACTTAAAGCCTAGATTTTGTTGGGGCAATTGCATGAGGACAGGTGGGGCACCAACCCTTCCCTACCTTCAAAGTGGGGAATGGCAGAAAAAGTTTGAGAAACACTGGTATACACTGAATATGTTGTTATAATTGCATACTGTTTTATAATGTACAATAATGCACTTAGGGTGCAAATAGTAAGCTATCTGCCACTATTTGCTCTAAGTATAAATATCATCTAACAACTGTATAGACTTAGTGCAAAGAAAATACTGCTATATTCACTTAGTGTTATTCTCTTGTAGCTGTAGAGCACAGAACTGAGACCAAGCACTGGGATCCTGTAGTTGACACCCCTCTGAGGGAAGCGGTCCATAACACAAATCCTACTCTTCAGGAACTGAGGAAGATAAGCCACGAGTTACTGTCCATCCGTCAGCAGGTCGATAAACATTTTAAAACTGATGAGAGCGCAGATGAGTGGGTACATTTGGGTGCAGTAATTGACCGCTTGCTTTTTGGGATGTATATTATCTTTCTCTCAGTGAGTTTCATCACTATGTTTGTCGTTTGGCAGTACTGGTACAACAAAAATGCATCTTTGATATAAATAAACCCACTGAAACTATATAGGAATAAGTGTTGAGTGTGCATGATTACTGAACCTGTAACATATTGCCATTTATTAAATCAGTAGCACTTTGTTGTACAGTCCTGTTTCCCATACATACTATGTACTTATTTGAGTTATTACAATAACTGGGAAATAACTAGGTATTAACCCTGAACCTACCCCTAAACCTAACCATAACCCATGTAGTTACCTTATACCAGTACTTTCTTAGGTAACTACACTGTAAGTACACGTACTGTAAAATAAAGTGCAACAATTAAATCTAATGGAATGTAATAATGCTGTATAGCTAATAGTGAATATTTTCTGCTGAAGTTCTGTACTTTTATATTTGTTTTTGTTTCTAGTTTTGTTGTTTTTTTACATTACAAATTATCATAAATTTGTAGTCCTATTAGGTCTAAGGGTTTATGCATATATATATACTGAGCTGTTGGAAATAAATGCACATCACAAATGTATTTCTGTAATACCTTGTAGGTTACTGATATCTTATGATATATTATGAGTTAAATAGAAAAAAAATGGTTTTGGAATTTGAAAAATACTGTATAATTTAACTGTCGCTGTCTACCCACTAACCTATATGACAAGGATAGATGGATGTTACCATGTTGTTTCTTCTAGAACGCTCTGTTGTTTTCTTCTAAAATGCTGTTTCTTTTTCTCCTCTTGAAAAATAAAAATCGTCTGATATCATATATGAGGAAGTTATCTTTATCTTTTATCTGTTAATATGATGTTAATAGGGAGGATTTTTTTTTTTACACTTTAGGAAACTTGCTTCAGAGGAGCAAAATATATGGCCACAATTTATAATTTGTTAATTATTTATCAATTTATACTTTATATAATCATAAACATTAAGACTAGAAACAATAAATTACAAATTACAAATGTACTTATAAAAATGTACAGTATTACATTTCATGTTGACATTATCTGTACTTATAAAAATGTACAGTATTACATTTCATGTTGACATTATCTGTACTTCTGTAACGTGTTGTCCAGTAGGTGAGGGTGAAAAAATAACTTTCAGTTGCATTTCTGTGATTTGTGCTGTCACAAACTGGATCAGTTGTGACAGCTGCAATGATATATATATATATATATATATACACTCACCGGCCACTTTATTAGGTACCCCATGCTAGTAACGGGTTGGACCCCCTTTTGCCTTTAGAACTGCCTCAATTCTTCGTGGCATAGATTCAACAAGGTGCTGGAAGCATTCCTCAGGGAGTTTGGTCCATATTGACATGATGGCATCACACAGTTGCCGCAGATTTGTCGGCTGCACATCCATGATGCGAATCTCCCGTTCCACCACATCCCAAAGATGCTCTATTGGGTTGAGATCTGGTGACTGTGGAGGCCATTTTAGTACAGTGAACTCATTGTCATGTTCAAGAAACCAATTTGAAATGATTAGAGCTTTGTGACATGGTGGAAGTAGCCATCAGAGGATGGGTACATGGTGGCCATAAAGGGATGGACATGGTCAGAAACAATGCTCAGGTAGGCCGTGGCATTTAAACGATGCCCAATTGGCACTAAGGGGCCTAAAGTGTGCCAGGAAAACATCCCCCACACCATTACACCACCACCACCAGCCTGCACAGTGGTAACAAGGCATGATGGTTCTATGTTCTCATTCTGTTTACGCCAAATTCTGACTCTAACATCTGAATGTCTCAACAGAAATCGAGACTCATCAGACCAGGCAACATTTTTCCAGTCTTCAACTGTTCAATTTTGGTGAGCTCTTGCAAATTGTAGCCTCTTTTTCCTATTTGTAGTGGAGATGAGTGGTACCCGCTGGAGTCTTCTGCTGTTGTAGCCCATCCGCCTCAAGGTTGTGCGTGTTGTGGCTTCACAAATGCTTTGCTGCATACCTCGGTTGTAACGAGTGGTTATTTCAGTCACTGTTGCCCTTCTATCAGCTCGAACCAGTCTGGCCATTCTCCTCTGACCTCTGGCATCAACAAGGGATTTCCGCCCACAGAACTGCCGCTCACTGGATGTTTTTTCTTTTTCGGACCATTCTCTGTAAACCCTAGAGATGGTTGTGCGTGAAAATCCCAGTAGATTAGCAGTTTCTGAAATACTCAGACCAGCCCTTCTGGCACCAACAATCATGCCACGTTCAAAGTCACTCAAATCAACTTTCTTCCCCATACTGATGCTCGGTTTGAACTGCAGGAGATTGTCTTGACCATGTCTACATGCCTAAATGCACTGAGTTGCCGCCATGTGATTGGCTGCTTAGAAATTAAGTGTTAACGAGCAGTTGGACAGGTGTACCTAATAAAGTGGCCGGTGAGTGTATATATATATATATATATATATATATATATATATATATATATATATATATATATATATTCATGTCTTTGGACAGTTTTCATTCGATTTCAATCAGCCAAGACTGAATGAGACATTAGCAAGCTCATACCTCATATTAATACTGCTTACATGTAAAAATTACATTGATAATACAAATTTCATCACCATTCGTAAGTTTTTATTCTGCTATAGTCCACTATCTCTGATACTTTGACATGCAGTGTTGACCTTTGCAAAGAAACAGATACTGTACAGTTTCAGTTCCCTTTCGTATGGGAACTCCTACGTCTCGTCGGAGGAGTTTCCAACGAATTGGGATCACGCTAGGGAGACCAATTGCCTTTGAGTGAATTAAAACGAGCCAATAAATATTGGCATGCGGGATATGCATTCCGCCTCCCGCCTAGCAATGCGGGTATAAAGGCGGAAGCGAACGCACATACCATTGCTTTTAGCTTCGGAGCCGACCGGTGTGTCCTCTGAGTGGATGAGCTTCAAGATTAGTAATTTATCTTCACGCTCAACGAGTCTGCAGTTTTCTCCGAGACCTCTCTGTGTTGGTGTGACGGCGCTTCAGCGGTCTTCGCGATCTCCCGGGGACCAGCTGCTGCTTCACGCGATCTGCTGTTGTTTCAAAGAGCTGTTGTCACAGCTGGTATTCGGTTGAGTGCGCACAGCGGGCTTGCAGTTTCCCCGCTGTGTTGCCGCGTTTATCCCTGTGTGCTTCAGCACAATAAGAGAGCGTTTTCTGTGAAAAGAGCAACACGGGTGAAGATCGCGTCCTTTTCAGGTTGACGTTTCACCCGTGTGTTTCTGGATGCGGTCGTTTCCTGTCTTCATTTGACGGCCACGATCACTGTTTCGCGTGCCTGGGCTTAAGAAAGTTGAGACTGCGTTCGTGGGTGGTTTATGTTCTCTCAGGAGAGCATGATCACGTCGGCACGTTGTTCGTCTCCCCTTTCTCGTAAAGGCTTGAGCTGCTCAGCGTGCCGTGTGCCGTCGAGCTGCCGGCTGACAGCGCGGGTTGTCACGGCAACCCAGCACGCGTCAGTCGGCGCTCTAGTTGCGCGCCTTTGACTGTTCCCCGATCTAGTTCCTCTTCTGGTGGCCAACGGTGGAGGGCTATTTTGGTTAATAGCATTGGTGATTAGAGGATTACAGTGAGTGTTCTCTGACCAGACCACCTCCTCGGAACCCTCACTCCTCTAGCGCATCGCAAACATGCTGAGACTGTGTTCGTGGGTGGTTTATGCTCTCTTACAAGGGCATGACCACGTCGGCGCGTTGTTCGCTTGCCTTTCTTGAGGGGTTGAGCGCTCAGCGTGCCGTGTGCCATCAAGGTATAGCCACGTTCACTGTTTTGCATGCCTGGCAGCTTTTGGGTGGAATCTCTGGTCCTTCTCATGAGGGACCAGCTATTTTATTCAGGGCACCAGGGGAGGATCAGATGTCGATCGCTGCATCGGAGAGAGGGCTGTTACACTCTGGAAATGAGGACGCTGAGTTCCCACTGTAATGGTGTGTGTGCTCGTGCTGAATCAGATTCAGACTTGACAGCCACACTTCCCGGGCTACTCTGAGGGCGCAGTGCAACGCGTAATTGCCTTGCCCCGCCCCCGTGCCTGCCCGGATGCGTGTGAAAGAGCTTTTAGCAGTATGGAGGCATGTTGGTGCTGTGGAAAGCCAAACGTGCCAAAATCTGCAGAAAGTTTTTTCCTCTCTCACTACCCTTAGTGGTTTGATTACACAGGGGTAGTTCTGAGTCGGGGTTGAGCTGTGCAAGTTATAGCACTGGCCCTCGGTCAGACGATGTCCACACTGCTGGTCCAGAAGCATCCCACGGCTAAACCTTGTGGAGTACGAGACATCGCCAAAGTTCGCTTTCTCGGTGCTCCTATCCCACAGGGTTTGCCGTTTTCGGCGACACTGTTGGAGACTGTGCCCAGCGGATCTCCACAGTTCAGAAGCAGGTTGAGGAGGCCAGAAGCTGACCCGATATGCTGTCGACTCATTCCTGGTTTCTCCTCAGTCTGTTTGTCGCCAAGGGTGTCAGTCCCCTGTGAAAAAGATGTCAGCCAGCTTTATGGTGACATCTAGCTTTCGCAGGAGGACGGCGCCACCTGTCTCAGCAGCCCTGAGACGGGTGACACAGGGTTGGAGGAAGTTGCTCTCAGGGAGATGGTGTCCTCACCTCTCCCGCCCCCGGAGGAGGGCCGGGTGGAGAATTTGTTCAGTTTCTGTTCCGCTGCTGGCTCCCTGAGTCCAGTGGTACCCACTTTTTCAATAGAGCAATTTCTTCCATCTCTGGGTTACAAGAGGTGCGGACTGCAGTGAGCGACGCTCCCTTGCCTCGCCATTCCTTCCCCACTCTTCCAGCCAGGGCCGTAGCTATTGGATTCGGGGCCCCCTGAAAAAATATTGATGTGGGCCCCCACCACCCTCCACCAATATCATATACTGTACAATAGATGAACATGGAGACCTACATATAACAGAAGATGGTGATGTTGTTGTAAAACCTTTATTTTAAAAGTTAAATGTTTATAAAAAATTACAACTAATAAAAACTAACAAAAATCAAGAAATTGTTAAATAATAATAAAACCAATTTTTAAAAAGTAATATTTTTTTCCCCCCATCAGTCTGTTATAATTCATAAATCAAAAAGTCTTTAGAAATTGACAAGAATGCAGTCTAATTAAAAAAAATAAAACCATTTATTGCCTTATTTTTTAATAAAGATAATATGGAACTGGTAATATTATTAAATAAAGCGAATACATTTATTCATCCAAGTGCAGTGTGTTGTATTCGTGTTTTCTCGATGTTTTAAATATCATCAGCCGGCAGGTCAGATGCATAATGCAATGCGTCGTGACTCGTGTAATGTTTTTAAAACTCTATTTACAATAGTGTAAAAAGACAGGAATTTAGACCACGTAATCATTCGGTCGATTGCGGCGCGCACCGATAATAAAAAATGACTGTACACGGCAGACTGTAGACGGAAGTTTTCTAATTCCCAGCGAAATAACAATATATAACTGGTCTTTAAGAACGTCTTGATCGACTGGGATACAACCACTCTCCTTGCCTCCCTCTCCGTCTTTTCCTGGCATTTCTGGTACCTGATTCACGTTTTCTTTTCCCCGACATTTTTCAGTCAGTCAGTCTCCTGCTCTTCCACCAAGTTCATCGTTAACTTCAGGCTGCCGCCTCAACTCTGATTGGTTCTGTTCACGAGCTGGGGTGGGACTTAC